TTAAAAATATGGTTACGAAGGTATTTTAACACTAATATAGACAGATACGTCATTCTATGATATTTTGCAATCCCTTTTACTTCTGCTATTATTATTTACTTTTGACTTTGTAAAGTTTACTTAAACCCCAATATTCTCTTTTAAATCTATCTAATACCTTCCACTTTCATTATCTCCTAGTTAGTCTCTCTAAACAATCAATCCAAATAGCTTAAAAAGGTCACCAGTTTTTTAATATCTACTTTCTGTAGATTTTTTTTCTTTAATCAATGCTCCAGTGGCCTGGTTGATGAGATATCTTGCCAAATATTTGATTCTTGTTCAGTTGTACTAACCTCAAGTATAGTCTATTTTAATATCATTGTTGAAACTTTGTAACTCTCTACTTAGAACTTGCCAAGCAGGTTTCTATAATGCCATTTACCAGATTTATATGACAGGATTTATTTGGGGTTTACACCACCTTACTGGTTTTTGTATTCTTTTTATTCAACTCATTCATTATACAAATGCACCAGAATCTTTCTTAGATCAGCCTGATAATGCAATAGGTATTCTTTCTAATAAGATATAATAATGTTATAGAATCTTCTCAATGTACAAGAGAGTTGCCATTACACAAAAAAATTCAATTTTTGTCATTGGTGAAAATTGAACTCTAAACATGCTGCTTGGGGGTAACAACCCAACCACTTCACAAAGTTACCACACACCTCTAAGTCTAGAATCAGAAGATAGTGAACACAAAAAATATACATTTATTACAAAAAAATAATTCTTTTTTAGATATTATAATAAATCTGCAAATCAATACTAAATATACAAAAAACAAACAGTAACTCAAACAAACAATGTTACCAATAGTATGATGTACTGTATATTATAGATGCCTGACGCAGCTATTTTTGCCATAGATGACGCGACGCAACTATATGTTTCGTCACTTGACGAAATGACGCAACTATATGTTGCGTCAGGTCACGTGAGTTGCGTCAGACATCACTACTGTATATGGCAAAATTAAATTTATTAGATATTTTTAATTTTCACATGATTTTTTTTCGAATATTCTTTGAATAATATTAAAAAAAATTTAATTTAACTTGTTAATCACGCCAGTAGTGTTTTAACACTACAGTTACTAATACAGTATCTCAAAAACTAGTTAAATAATTTCTAATTGTCCGAAGGATACTACAGACGGAGCAATAGTACACCTGATGTCCGTGTGTTAGCAAATTTTAAATTTTAATTGGCTAGATCAGATGTAACATAAAAAAAAAACAATCAAAACAATCGATAACCGATGCTTATTGGCTAGATCAGTTGTAGTCAATTGTAATAATTGGTCCTTCGGACTTTGATATGGTTTCCATTTTCCTAGTCTTATCCAAATTCCTAACCTAATCATAAAATTTGAACCCTTAAGCATTACGTAATTAAATTCCAGTGATCCGCTTTAGCTTTAATGAAGCGGTGTAATTCTTTTGAGTTTGTCTATCCCCGGTTTGGTTTAATATTATAGTTGTCACAAAACTTATAGAAACTCGTTTTAATTAGCTCAATGTTTTGCTTTTTTACGACACATAAAATTTTTGATTAATAGTTATTCGTTGTGACAATAAAAGAATATGTGGCATTATTACCTCATTATTTGTGCGAACAAAAACACGCAGTACTAATTCTTCAAATTGTTCTGGAACAAGATAACTTAATTGATCACGTTTAAGTTTGAATTCTATAAATAAGTATAAATTTTATAATAAAAATAATTTGAATTAAAATGTTCATCAAATTCATATTAAAAGATACAAACGTTCATTATTTTCTTTCTTGTCATAGAACGTGATTTTTTCTACAGGGTTTTCGCCTCCTTCTCCATAATCTAATCCTGGCTGATCGATAATTAAGTCGTTAATTATCTCATTATTTAATTTATCTTTAAAATATTTTTCTAGTTTTTCCTGCAAAATAAATAAAATAAAAGTAAATAAATAAATAAAAATAAATAAATAAAATTAATAAATTAAAAAAGAAAAATTATCAGTGTTATATAACACCTATAGTAAAATATGTATTGGCCTGAGTTAGAGTTAGAGTTTAGGAAGGGTAAATATATAGTTTAATAATAGGGTGTTATATAACATGGTGTTATAAATATAACTTTCCATTAAAAAAAGTATGTGAAAGGGATTGCAAAATATCATAGAATGACGTATCTGTCTATATTAGTGTTAAAATACCTTCGTAACCATATTTTTAA